TGAAAGAGAGAGAGAGAGAGAGATTTAATCGGATCGATCGCATCCATCGTTCCTGCCGATAAGACGATGCACATAAACACGTATTACGAAGGAGATACGAGCGAAAGGGATAGAATATATTGTACATGTTCTAAAGATATATACAGGTATATACTCTCTCTCTTTCTCTCTCACTCTCTCTATGTTCTTGTCTTTCGTTGACCCTGGATTATCGTGGATTTGGTAAGCTCGAAGTGGGTTGTCCTTGTCGTCATCGTCAACACGTTTTAACCATGATCCATTTCTGATATCTTATTATAGAAACGTTCTCAAATATTTTATATATTTTTGTTAAGATAATAATAGTTCATTTGTTAATTTATTTAATTTGATTTTTATCTAAATCAAATTTATAGAATTATAATATAATTTTTATATTATTTATATATTTGTTCTCTCTCTCTCTTATTTAAGTTTTATCTCATTGATTAATTGAATGTGATTTTTATATTTATGAAATAATTATTCTAATTATTACATTTTTAGAATGTTTCTACTTATATTATTTACGATTATGAATTTTCATTTAACACGCGTGATTTACTACTTCGTATAAATGCATATGATGTATGTGTGTGTGTGTGTGTGTGTGTTGTTAGATATAGGACATAAATGTAGTTACATTCTCTAGTGCATTCCGCGAGCATTAGTCAAACTATTCGCTTGATAGATGGTACACGTCCGTTGTAAGGACTCCTGGACTACAAGTAGGACTCTGTCCAAGACGATGTGCTTGTCCCTTGACGGGTCGTCTATCAGGACTGTGATGTGTCGTCGTACGTAACTGCATCACGCAAAACAGAACCGGTGATACACGTTGTGTTACACATTCCTCTACCTTATGCTAAAATTTCTTCTATTTTATTATCGTAATAAAACAAACAACAAACAAATAAACAAAAAATAAAATACAAACAATTATTATCAATAATTATAAGAACAAAACTTTGTTAAAAATTATTTTAATCTGTCTCTAAAAATAAATTTGATTTCTATTATTGTCAAATATTATATGTGTGTTGTACTTGTTATTATATCAATTGAATTTTTCTTATCAATTGACAAATAATTACATTATTGTTATTTTAAATGTTAAGTTATAAATATAAAAAAAAAAAGAAAAATATTTTTCAAAGATTTGCCAAGTGTCATTCAGTCACATACACATATATATACACACACACACACACACACACACAAATGGTTGAATACTGAATAAATATTCTATTTTCCAAGCATCGAAATCCATTTTACGAGCATCGTTCGAATATAATCTTCGGTGAGGTTCATTTAAAATAGATCGAGGCTGACTCTTCTCTCTCTCTCTCTCTCTCTTTCCTTCTCTTTCTTTCTCCCTTGGAGAAGGTAAACTCGAATTTTAGTAGACCGCAGATATATGTATATCGCGTGCGATTCGCATACTCTCGAGAGAGTAAAATTTTATTCCTCCTGCGGTTTCTCGTAATCCTCGTTTCCATTGACTTTCAACGCACACACGTGGGGGGGGGGGAGGGGGGCCCATATGTGCCCATGCGTGAGAATGTTTGATATGTGCGTGTATGTACGTATATGTATTCACTCTCGTATATACATAGTAGATCGATTTATTAATAGACAACGAATAGGGCCAGTCTCTGCGAGGGTGGGGGAGGGGGAGAGGGGTGAGAATCAAAAAAAGATAAAATATTCACATCGAGGTGTTCGAGTGAGTAAAATAAGTTTTGAAAAATTCGCCCCTTGTATCCACTTTCCATCTACTCCCCCATCCCTTTCCCTTCCCCTCAGCCACCACAGACCATTTCACTCAAATATATATATGTATGTATTTCTTCTCTTTTTTATTCTCTTTTTTTTTTTAAAGCTTCGTGAAATTTGAATTTAATTCGACCTCCCATTGTTTTATCTCTCATAATCTGGTTCTTTTTTTATTTTTATTTCGTCTTCCACTTGATTCTTTTTATTTTACGTTCTTTAAACTCTCTTGTTGACTATAAATAATTTTTCTTTCTGTTCATTTATTTATTCGTTTTCCTTTAAATCGAATGAATGAATTTCACATATGCGAATTACGTTTCTATCATTTTCTAATATTATTTGATGATACCAAATTACATTCTATTTTATTTGATTATGTTTTCTATTATTTAGTAAAATCTTAAACAAGTAAATAAATAAAAGTAAAAAAAAAATTGAATAACAATGTGGTTTATCTTTTACAAATACGATTTGATCGAAATGCGGTTATGGAAACGATGTCAATAATGCAATGAAGAAAAAAAGTGCAAACAAAAAACAAAAAAGAAGAAAATAATTGGATAAAAAAAAAAATCTCTCGTTTGTTACTTTCAATCAATAATCGAGATTTTGAGTGGAGAAATTTTCTCACGATCAAAATCGTAGTAAACAAGATCATTAAAAAAAAAAAAGTACTACGTAAACTTCTTCTTTTTTCATTCTCCTGTACTATCATTCATTTTGGATTGATACAAAAAATCTAGTTCTTTCCTTTTTTTTTCAAGTATGGTATATATGATACAAATACAGGTAGTAAGAAGAGATCGAACTTATTGAACGAATTCAGAAGAGGGATAATTAAAATGAAAAGTAATTAGAGCACACCAGGTAGATGTACCTCTCATGTTTCCGATACGGCGTTACTAAATGATCGTTATTACACCGATTCGTTGGCCACACTGACTGAACGTAATGCCCATTGTGTACGTATATATATATAGAGTATTTGTAGAGTTGGTTCTCTTGGTTTGTTCATTCGTTCATTTGGTTCGTTCATTCGTTCGTTTTTAGAGCATCGTAATGTGTATATATACATGCATACACGCATTACAACGATTGACGACACCATTTGACTCACGTGACTCGTATTATTATATTCAGGTGCACTCATGCGTGACTTTGTTCCCTTTTACGTGAATACCTGTTAACGATTTTCGAATAGAAAACACATCGTTCAAGCGAGTACTCTCGATTGCGACAAATATCGCATATTCGTGCGCCTCATGGAAAAACAAATTTTGAATGTATTGTCCGATGGAAAACAAAAAATAAAACGTTATTTTACTCTCTCTCTCTCTCTCTCTCTCTCTCTCTCTACCAACATTTTCTTTTTTTTTATTTATTTTGTTTAGGTTTCCTTTTGTATTTTATTTTATTTTATTTCATTGGATTTGATTTGATTTGATTTTATTTCGTTTTATTTTCTTCTCGACATTTATTTTGTTACAGAAATCTCGAGTTTTTCGTGTGTGTTGGATGATATTTGACTGACCCAGATTTCGACTCTTTACTATTCACTTCAGAATCTTGCGTCTTGTTTTTCTCTCTCTCTCTCTCTCTCTCTCTCTCTCTCTCTTTTGCTTTCTATCTTTTTTTTTCCTTCTATTAAATATATTTTCAACGAATGTTCACATTCATGTTTGGATTTAATTCATATGAATATATTTGACATGAACCTTGTGTGTGTCTCTCTCTCTCTCTCCCTCTCTTGTGAATGTAATACGATCTAACGTGAATATAAAATATGTTTAATTAAAAAATAGGGAAAAAAATTATTATTTTATTACGCTACCACATGTTTTTTTATTTTTCTTTAATTTCAACGCTCCTTTAATCAAATTAATTGAAATTTGTATATTTAATTAAATCAAGATCGATATTAAAATGTTAATAAAGTACACTGTTTAATCTATCTTAATCAAAATGAAATGAAATATCTTTAATAAGAAAAAATGATCGTAAAAAGAAAAATACCCATACATATATAAATCTTCGTTATACCCATGGAAAACACTTTCACCATATCGGGTGGGCCTATCTAACGAGCCGTAACAGCACGTCGTTTTGAATAAGTCCGATATTAAAAGGAAAAGGGACGATGCAATGGAAGGCAAGCAGGCAGCAGCAGCAGCAGCAGCACCCTTTCGAAGGTAGATAAAGCGCGAGATCGGCTTTTTGCGATTCGTGCGTTTGCTAAAGATAGAAAGAGATAGAAGAAAAGTTGAAGGATGGGACAATAGTTGCAACGAGCAACGTGTACGAGAAAGACGGATAGATAGGGAAATGTAGAAATGTAAGAGAGATAGATGAACTATCTTTCTCTCTGTTTCTCTCCTTCTCTCTACTTTCAAGCTATGGGAGAACAACCCCTTTCATTCGACGTCAGCCCCTTCTGATACCGTATAAAATATAGTATTGTTCGCGCTCTGTTAGTCTAGAGTGGAATGAGTGTATTTAGAAAGGGGCGGCGTTCTTTCATATGTTAAGCAGATCAGTGTCGGCTTTGAGAAAAAGCTCAAAAGAAAAGGAGGGAAATAGTGTGAGAGGAAAAAAGATAGATAGATAGATAGATAGATATATAGAGACATGGTGGTTGAAAAGCTAACGGATCATTCAAACTACTAATGTCTAATGGTTGTTGCTTTCTTCATTTCATTCCACGTAATCGAATATAATGAACATAAATGTTGGTTATATTAATGGTTTTAATATTTATCTTTTTTTTTTTTTGTTAAATCAACATTGGTCATTTTATATTTTTTCTACTATAACCAAATATTCTAGACCAATCGGTATTAAATAAAAAATAAATAATAAAAAGTAATACACGTCGAGAGAGTTGACAATGTGTGCTTTTGCGTTTCGGTCAGCTCAAAAGTCAACTTTCGTAACGAGTTTTACATTCGTGACAGAGCACACTGCTGAGTCGTCTCTACACCAACGTTATTGTAAAAGTCCTAATGAAAATCTAGCGATTTTGTCCACTACCACCACCACCACCACCACCATCCCCATTGTCCAGTTTTATTCTTCATTCCTCGTACGAACGAATATTCGAGAAAATGAATTTTCACTATGGTCGCGGTGGATCCTTCCACCGAATTTAATCATTTTATTTATTTTTCAACTCGTTCACATGGTTTTTTATTCTTCTTCTTTGCTTTCAGAACACGTACGGGAATTTAGCTGCGGTATGCTCTACTACAGGACACTCTACCTTGATAGCAAAAGGGATGCCCTTTACGTCGGTGCGATGTAAGTAAAACTTTGATTTTTTTTTTTTTAAACCATGTAATTTATTTTTTAACTCTGTCAAAATATTTCATGCAATTTAGTGAAATGAAACAATTGACATGTTCAATATTATTCATTCGTTTAAATATATATCTATCGTAATTCTTTGTTGGATTATTTTTATTATAAAAATAAAAAAAAAAATTACAATTAAAGATATTTAATATCGAGAAATATCTAATTAATGACATTAAAACGTCAAATTATCTTCAACGGTATTATACGTTTGGTCAAAATCGATTTATCTAGGATTGATTATACTCTCGATGTACACACACTCACGTACACACATGTACAAATGCAACAAGCGTATTTACCAACACACTAAAAGCTTTCCAAATATTACTTTGATCATTTAGCGTCAATCAGTTAGTTCATTTCATTTAATCGTTTCCAAACGAAAACGTTTTGTAGTTTCCTTTCGGAATTAATCCCTTCACATGCAAAACCAACTCTGTGTGTGGTTTTTTTTTTTTTTATTCTCATCCCCTTATCAAAACGTATATACACAGCACCCCCTATGTGAAAGCAATGGCTGTAAATGACATTTGCTTGCGTTAATACTTATTTGAATATTTATATATATATATATATGTTACAAAATAAAAAATGTAAAGAATCTGAGAATTACATGGAATATGTCTAAAGGGTTTTGTTCAATTATATGTACTTCAGTTAACAGTATTTAAAATTTGTAGGAAAGGAAAAGGGTTAAAGGAAAAAAAATCTGAAGTTATTTGAAATTGAAATGAATTATTACAGGTGTGTGTGTGTTTGTACAGTCATAAAATGATTTTTGCATAATGAATTACACACTATCTCAATCAGTTGATTATAAAAATTAAATTTGTCAAAGATTCATGTTGTAAAGGGCAGAAAAAATTAATAATAATTGTAGTTTGTATATTTAAAAATAGAAAATGGAAAAGATAATGTACCCTTGGCACTAATTTTCTTTTTTGTGAACTAAATACTTGTTTCAATTTGACATAACTTTTAAAAAATCTTGACAAAACTGCATATTTTATTATATAAATAAATAAATAAATAATATTGCATAAGTTTATTATATAAAATAAAGGGGGAAAAAAATGTGTAAATTTCCATTAATTTATTTTTTAAAATGTTAAAAAAAAAAAGAAAGAAAAAAAGGAAAAAGATACGAGATAAATAACATTGCATATTTTTATATTATTGCATATTAAATGTTATAATATTGCATATTAAATATTATTGCATATTCAATTACCATGAAATGCAATATTTGTTTTATTATTTTTTTGTTTTTTCAAATTTAAAATTAAAATTTGCTTCACAAATTTTTAACTATCAATTAACTTGCAATAAATTTATATATATTTTAAAATGTAGAAAAAAATAAAGAAAACAACAGAAAGAAAGAAAGAAAGAAAGAAAGAAAGAAAGAAAGAAAAGATAGAGATGCAAGTTGAATACAAGTTGCACGATTTTGATCATTTTTCTTCGAGTTACGTTGAAAGGGACGGATAAAAATCCGTCTTTCCTCAAATCGGATAAGACATCTCGAACGTTATATCCCTCTCTTGAATAGTAAACCAGAACGGTATATAGTCGTTTGAAAAAGACGATAAAATAAATATGCAACTTTCTCGTCGGGCGATGTGAAAAATTCGTGCTGTAAATATCAAAAGAAAGTTACTAAGATAAAGATAGATAGAAAGAAAGAAAGAAAGAAAGAAAGGAGAAAAAAAAAATCGAAAGAGAAAGATGAAGAACATCGAAAAGGGGAGCCTCCGAAGCTTATGGTAATGACATCGATGAGAATAAAAAAAATAAAATAAAAAAAAAAAATACACGAACGGATGAAAGCTTTTGTCTTTAAAAGAACTTTTAGTTTTTCTAACGAGATAACAGTATGAAAGAGAGAGAGAGAGAGAGAGATAAAACGAGAAGGTAGGACGATTCAACGAGAAAAAAAGTATAAAAAGAGATAGATAGAAAATAGGTAAAGAAAAGTAGAGTAGACGAGTGAAAGGAGAGGTGAGGAGAGGAGAGGAGAAGAGAGGTTGGAGGTAAAAGTGGGTGGTGAAACGCGGTTACGATAAATTGCATTTTCTATAGGAAAAAGCGGGGTACTTCGATTTTAACATTTCCTGCTTTTCTGGCTTCCTTCCACGTGCTGCTTGTATTTTGTCTCGTCATCTCTCTCTCTCTCTCTCTCTTCTATTGTATTTAGTCATCTACGTACTCTCTCTCTCTCTTTCTATATCTCATCCATGAGTGAGTGTAGTACAACACGTGACTTACTAGTACAAGTTATATCTTTTCATGTCCTATTTTATTCTATATATATATATATATCTACTTACCAACTTACCCAAACTACAGAATATCGAATTCCAATAAGAATTCTGAGCCAATGAAGGAAAGCACTTTTTTCAATATTCCCACTAACTTTTCTATCTTTCTTTCCTTTTATTCTTTTTTTTTTTTTTCGTTGTTTATTTTATTTTACCTTGATATACGAAAAAAAGGGATTAACAATTTGTTCGTTCAATAAAAATAATTTTTTTATTATTATTGTTATGAATTTCACACGACCATCGTCGTCATAGTTCCCACTCACTTTTTCTATCTTTCTTTCCTTTTATTTGATTGTGATTTTTTTCTTTTATTTAATTTTTATTAAATAATTACATTTAATTTATTTTTATTTTTGATTAAATGATTTTTTTTAAATATTATCGTCATTATAATGTGACATAACAATTGTAAAATGAAAAATTCAAACGATCCCATTAGATTTCTAAACAATTCATAATATTCATTCCAATTATTCCTATTGAATTTAATCAAAATTTATATATATACGCGTATTTTATGAAAACAATAGGTATAATTGAAACGGCAATCATTTTACGTTGGAATTCATCATACAGATGAGATAGGTTAACGTCATACAATTTGTACGGGGTCACACGGTGACGAATATACCCCCCCCCCATACATGTCCTATTCAACCCTTTTCTCTTTTCGATGCTTCCCTTTATCTTTTCTCTCTCTTTCTCTCTCTCTCTCTCTCTCTCTCTCTCTCTATCTATCTCTCAGTTCATCTATCTCCAACTCACGTGCTCATCTATCGTATTGCACAAATCGATACCCGTGCGAGCATCGTTCCTCGTTAATTAGAAAGGTGATACCCATTAATTGTAGTTTGAGAATCGACGACTACTACGTTGCTTGCTGCGGTACGTTCTGCAATTAAGGTACGCTAATTGAACGCTTCCAATTATCAGGTCAGGCATCGTGACGTTGTTCGATGCGCACCGATATTCTGTTCTCAGACTAAAAAGAGATGACAAACATCGGGACAAGTACGAAGAACAAGAGAACTGAAAAGTACCGAACGAAGGTGAAAATGAAGAAGAGAAAAACAGAGAGGGTAGAAGATAGGGTAAAGGGGAGGGTATTTAAAAAAAGAAAGAGAGAAATTAGTATAGAAAGTTGGAAGTGAGAAGAGGGAAGAAAGAAAGGTTGTAGATAATAGGAAAATGGGGGTATTTAAAAAAATAAAATTAATAAAAAATTAGTATATGAAATAACAAGGTAATAAAAAGAAAGGGTGTAGAAGGTAGGGTAAAGGGTGTATTTAAGAAAAAAAATTAGTATAAAAAAACAAACAACAATATTATTTTTCCAGTCAATTTTGTTCCACCACCCATCGAATAATCAAACGATTGCAATATACGAATGTTTATCGAACGAAATTTGTATTTTTTTTTTTAGATAGGGGTTTTAACATGGTTTTTCTTTCCTTTTTCTATTTCTATCCTTTTGCTATCTTTATCTTTTTATTTTTTTACTCTTATTTTATACGATCGTTTACAAACGATGGCTCATAAACTTCCATGTAAACGTTCCGGCTATTCGTTTTCCAATTTCACCACCGCAAAGTTCTCTTACTCGTTTCATCCTTTATTGTTAGAAAAAGAAAAAGAGAGAGAGAGAGAGAGAAAGTAAAAAAAAACGAAAGGGAGTATTCGAGCCAAACTAATTTATAATTCGATCGATGTTAAAAAACCTGAAAATTGTAACCACGAGATGTTGGTTCTTCGATAATAGGGATATAAAAACGAAAAAAAAAAAAATAAAATTTTAAAGGGAAGAGAGGAGGATGGGGGAGGTGGGGTGGGGAGTGAAATAGAGTGCATTTTTATCCATAGAAAAAATCCCTTTTTTTTCTTTTTTTGGCGTTATTGGCGTTAATGCATTTTCTTTCACTTCTCTTCTATCTTTGAACCCGAACGAGCAAAGAAAATTTCTCATCAAACTCGTAATGTGAATTTTAGTATAACCAAGCGAAAAGTAACAAAAAAAAAAAAAAAAAGAAAAAAAATAAGAAAAAGAAAGAGAGAGAGAGAGAGAGAGAGGATCGTTATTACGATGTGAAGAGTCGTTTTGCATATTCGAACGGGAAAATGCGAAGAGGATGCAACGACGTTCCGATGTCGTCGTCGTCGTCGTAGTCGTCGTTGAAATAATATCGTTACAAGGCGTTATTTCCATGCAATAAAACAAAGTTTCAAGAAAGACGACTACGACACAACGGACAAAGAAGATAAGAAAGAAAAAGGAATAAGAAAAGGACCAAGAAGAAGAAGAAGAAGAAGAAGAAGAGGAAGAAAAGAGAAGAAATCGACTTTAACGTAGAACGCTTCGCTGTTTTACATCTTTCGATTAAAATACGAGATGGAACATTGTCATCTCTCTTTCTCTTTAACTTTCTCCCTTTTTTTATTTTTTTATTTTTTTTTATTTTCTATCTCTTTTTCACACGCTTTCAAGTCCCGAAACATCGTTAGAACCTTTATCTTTACGCGGTAACATAAAATTTTCTCTTAACAAAACTTCATGTATGTATATATGTACGATATACGAAACCTATTTACGTCTAAAGAAACTTGGTTCATAGTGAACATAATAAAAAAAAAAAAAGAGATAGAAAGATATAAAGAGAGACAAACGAAAGATAAAGGAGTAAATTAAAAAATCAAAGAGAATGAGAAAACAAAATAGAAATAAAAAACATAATGAATAAATGGATAATACTATCTGTTATTTTCTTCTTATTAAAATTGTGATGGGGATGAGGATCAGGGGTACTCATCCCTTAAGGAAGATTAACACTAGAATTACCACACCAGTCATTTTAATTGGTTTGATAACTTTGATATTCTTGATACCAAATATTCTTCATTATTGTACTTATTGTTATTAACATATTATAATTGTTATTATATTGTTTTAAAGATCTCAAAACATGGAGTTCCTTTTGCAAAATAATAATAAGTCAATTAATATCAAAATATTCTACTAATACTAATTATATTCTTTTTTAAAGACTAGTCATTTTGATTGGTTTTGGGTTGGTAGTTTTAGTGTTAAATAAAAGGATAAAATTATCTAATTATTTTCAAACGTGAGTTGTTTTGAAAAAAAAAGATGGGAATCGAACACATTGAACACATTGAACACATTGACGAGAACAACAGGAGTTTCATTTTGTGACAAGATTTCTTCTGCTTAAATCGCACTCTCTCAGAAACAACCCACTCCACGAATTTCTTCCAGCAAAAAGGGATCGCGAGCCAACACGTAAAAGACCTAAAAGAAAAAAAAATAGAGAGAGAGAGAGAGAGAGAGAAAAGATTTTCTTCAACCCTTAGTCCTTCGTTTTTTTCTTTTTTAAGGTTCGTAAGGTTCGTCACCCTTACCTGTTTTCTTATCGAACCCCCTTATCCAAGTTTTACACCAAGTAAAAGTTCGAATCATCGAATCGTTTTCTCGTCCTCCTAGGATTTTGCCCAACAGGATTTGTTTTTTTTTTCTTTTTATTCTTTCCGTTTGCCTTGACATTTTCTTTTACACTTTTACGGTTTACTGCATTGAGAAAACGAAACAAAAGATTGAAAAGTCTTATAAATGTGAATATTGTTTTATATTATTTTAATGTTTTTTTTTTTTTTTTTCATTTTCTATCGGTGTTCTCTTTTTCTCATTCGTTCTTCTCGTTTCCTCCTTTATCTCACAATTTGTTACAATTTTCACTATCTATAACTAAGATTCGAATAATTCTTTTTTATCTTATTTTGTTCTTTCTATCTCTTTCTATTTATCGTCCCGATTTGTCGTATAAATCGAAAAAGTAATCACCTACCGAATGGAGGATTTATGGTCGCAGTAAAAATGATGATAAGCGATCGATATATATATATATATAGGTCAGGTACGAGTTTTCGAACAATGGAGTTAATTCTCAAAGATAAACTGCAATAACTTTAGCAAATCTATTCTTCGAAACGTAGAATATATAATAATAATAATAACTCACTATAACTTCATATATATATATATATAGAATATTACTATATTATATATTTATACAGTATTACCTTTTATTATATATAGTATTTTACATTATATTTATTTTATTGTATTTATTTAATATTTATTATTATATTCATAATATAAAAATTTAGAAAAAATATTAATTATAAATTATTATATTTATTTTATTGTATTTATATAATATTAGTGTAATTATATACTATTTACTATATATTATATTATATTATATATTAGGTCATAAAATATGAAATGTCTGATTTTGAGATAAAAATAATTCGAGTAATCAGACATTTCATAGTTACTAATCTAATAGTATTATAATAACATTTTTTAAATTTTTATTGTTCATCGTTTCATACATTTAATGATAACATTTGATTCACAAATGACAAAAAAAAAATAAAAAATTGCAAAGAAAGGAAAACTAAGGAAGAAATATACTATTTACAATGAATTCCCAGATGGAAATAGATTTTCTTCTTCGTAAGACGAGAAAACGGAAAGAATCTTCCTAGCTGTGTTCATTAACGTTTCCCTCTCCCCAGTCTCCTATCCTCTCCCCATGTCATTTTACTATTTCTATCTTTTTCTTTCTCTCATCCGACGATAGATTTCAAACAAGGTGAACGCGAACGTTCGTGATTTCAACGAAGATATCCTAATAATGTCGGTCACCGGAAAAAGGGAGGAACAATTGACGTTTCAGCTAGGATCTTTCGTTTTAAAGGAAAACGATCATCACGAGGCTTCCTAGAAACTAGAAAAGTGGAGTGGGGAATTTCTCTAAAAAAAAAAATCTTACAACCTTGAAAAAAAGGGTAGCATTCTTCTTCTCTCATTCATTTCTTTCATGAATCATCTACGTTTTTTATTCTTCTATTTTCTACTTTTCACCTTGTGTTTTCTATTCTACGTCATCGTTCTTACTTCTTATTCTTATTCTTATTCTTTTTCTTACTTTACTTTACTTTACTTTACTTTACTTTTTTTCCTTTATTTAAGTTTCGCGTTCTCATAGAAATTCCATGGTGGTTCGCGAGCATTTGCCGACGTGAAACGTCTTGCCTAGCAAAGTGCCACAATGTGCTACCACGCGACCATAAGTAAACGGTGTACGAAGAGTAATGCGTTTTCTAGACGAGTTGAATGAAAATTGTTGAGTCCTAGGATCCTAGTCTTTCTTAGAAATTTTCACATTTTCACCTACTTACCCACAACTATCACACCCCTCTATTTTATTTCCTTACATACGTATATATAGATTTATTTTAGTAATATTACTAGATATTATACGTGTAACACGTTTCTTTTTTATTGCAGGGACAAAATCTTCAGATTGAATTTAAGTAACATCAGCCATTCGAATTGTGAGGTGAGTTTAAACATTTCATATATATTTTTAATTATATATACAGGGTATTTTTTTTTTGTTTTTAAAGTCCTAAGATCAAACTTACATTATGTATTATTACTGACAACAAATAAATGAAAAATATTCCTATACATTTTTGTATATATGTATATTACTGTATTTAGTTTTATACTAACGTTACTTTCACCGGTATAGGAACTTTTTTTTTTTTTTGATTTATTACATTGGTCAACGAGAAAGTATACAAATGTAGAACCGCGTTGATCCGGCGCAAACAATTGGCTATATTGCGGATGACTGTACTTATATTTCCTGCAGTAACTCGTATACACAGAGGAGGACAAATATTTGGCATGGAACGAAAAATCGTACGTTTCGAGTTTGCATGCTTTTTCATTCCAGTTTAGATACATATATATATATATATATATAACATATATTATAAAAATCATTTATATTCCCAACATAACTCTCAGCTATTTTATAATATATTTATTTAATGGTAAATTAAATAATTATTTTTATTATGAAACATTGAACAACATTGTCTTTTAATTCTATTAACATTTTTTAAATTTTGTTAAACAATATAAAAAAATAAAAAAAAAAATAAAAAGTATAAGTGAGATAGATACTCGATCATAAATCGTTTTCCATTTGTACACTTGTACGAAAACGTCATTAGTATCAAACGTTGTTCTTTCTATCTATCTCTCTCTCTCTCTCTCACTCTCTCGAGAAGAGTATGGTTTTACTCGGCCGACGATAAAACCAGTCTAGATCGTAAATCGCAAAACTGCGTTGGTACGTCCCCATAAAACTGTCAATCATGCATAGAGGCGAGCCGATGTTTCTGCGTCATTCGGACAGCTGACGCTTTTCTACGCGAACGAATACTCTCTCTCTCTCCCTTTCTGTCTCTTTCTGTCTCTCTTTATGGAAGAAGAAGCCAATCCCCATTTTTTTTTCAACGTTCATACTCAACCTCTAGCTTTGAGACATTCTCTTTTTTCACCTCCTCTTTTATTCTATTTATTTTTTTTTTTTTTTTTTTTATACTTCGATTGGTTCAACGTATCTAAGTTGATGCAAGCAAAATGCAATTCAATCGATTTGTATTTATTTTTTTTTTTTTCAAATATAACACTTACGTAAGACAATTTTGTAATTTTATTTGCAATATAAAAAGACGTACGTATTTTTTAATAATTTTTTAATATCGATAATTTATAATTTATTAACATTTTACTGCAAGCACAAAAATTGTTTTACTTCTAATTGCATTTTGATATAACCGTCATTATAATATATGCAACATGTAATAATTATTGTATAATAAATTAACATTCAAATATATAATATRATATAATTTAATAACACACATTAAGAAAATAATAAGCAATAATTATTTTATAATCAAATAAAATAATAATTAAATATATAATGTAATTTAATATAATTGTACTTTGTATGATATATTTCTAAACACCACAAATATCCAACAAAATATCAAAAGTTTTCAATCCCCAAAATGATACATACACACATACATATAAAAGAACAAACAATTGTAATAATTATTCATCTTATGTCAGTGTTAATTTCTAACCCCAACATTTTCACACATAAAAAAACTAAAAACAAATCGTAATTCGTTTAAACTCAAAGCACATTCGATCAAAGCAATCAAAATTACAGTACTTGAAAAGCTTCTTTTCTCTCACACACACACACGCACACACACTCTCTCATTTTGTAATCCGTATAGAAACAAAAAAACAAACAACGTAAAAAAGTAACCTGAACGTTTCACTCGTATCTCACAGGGATTTTTTTTTCACAAATATACAAACGGCCCTTTTGTACCCTTTTTTCTCCACCTACTTGCGAGCCTTTCGAAAACGTGCCGACACGTTTCGTCGAACCCATTCGATCGTGAAGATCCGATCGAAATTGCTTCGGCCCAAGGTCGACAACTATATATATATAAACCTGTATGTGTGTGTGTGTGTGTGTAAATCGAAAGAGAAAAGAAGGGATGGAAAAGAGGTAGCACAATCCTGCCCTAACCCTACCCCTGTCCTACCACCAATGCTCTTCGAATCGAGTAGAAACGGAAAATTGCTTTTTAACCCTCTCTCACAGAGAGGAGGGGGTTGGAGGTTGTAGTCCAAACCGGGTTTTACTCTTTCTCACTTTATCTCTCATTCTATTTCTTTCTTTCTCTCTCTCTCTCTCTTTCTCTTTTGTTTCTAACACCCAACAGACCAGTGGCTTCGCGAAAAGAACCGAAATCCGATCGGTGCCCTTAAGCTCACGTTTGCCTTTTTATCTTTTATTTATTTATTTATTTTTTTTTATTTCTTTTTGTATCTTTTCGGCACGTTGTTCTCTCTTCGAAAAGGTTATCCCAACCTCCCTCCCACCCTTTTTCTAATTCTATTCTCCTTCTCTTTTCTTTCTGTAACGAAGTTGCATCCAGTCTCGAAAACCAACCCACACGATTTTCGTTTAACTAAAAAAAAAAAAAAAAGACAGAATTCAACTCAACCACACCTCCACAAGCTTCTTCTAATCTCTTCGGTTAACGAAAAGTCGTGATCGATAAAAGTGAGTCTCACAATAAAAGGAGGAGGAGGAGGAAGGGGATGAGTTAAATAAAAGTGTAATTCACGATAGCCGTTAAGTTTCGTACAACACGTTTTGCGATAGATCGATTCTAACGTAATTCTAGGGAAGAGCTTTCTAAATCGACCTCATTGAATTGGAAAGCAGATTAGATCGAATAGAAAACTTGCTTCTTGTATTTAAAGTAAACGTCGTATCTCTCTCTCTCTCTCTCTCTCTCTCTCTCTTTTTCCTACTCCCTCAAAAAAAAATGAAATAAAATAAAGAAGAAAGAAAAAGGTAACGTGAGGGGTGAGAGTTAGCGAAAGTGAGAGAAAAAGAAAGAAAGAGAAAGAGAGAGAAATATTGTGTAAAGATGTCGTCTATGAGTCCCATGGGTACAATTTCAAAGCGTCGGCAAGCACAGTGTACCATAGAGGGCAAACTTTTTACTCTCTCTCTTTCTCTCTCACAATAGTCTCGAATAGGTCGATAAAAGAATGGCGAAACGATGTTCCACGATGGTCGAGGGGAAACTAAAAAACGAAAGGTAGGAAGGGTGGGGGGAAGGGTTTAGAATCATTGGAAAATTCGATCGTTCTTAGAACCTTTCCACCAACACCAACTACAATCATCACCACTACCACCTGTCACGAAACTGTAAACCAAAAGCAGAAACTATACAAACTGAGTACTTTGTTGTACAACCCCCACCCTCTCCCCTTTTTTTTCTTCTCTTTTTTCCAATTCGTAAAACCATCCCTCCCTTTTATCGTTCTCATTTAGTTTTTCGGTTCGACAGATGCGACAATTGTGACAGAAACGAATTAGAATTAGGAATGGAAACGATGGAATTATTTGTAAGATGAGAAAAGAAAGTGGGCGTAAAAGGTGGGGGGAAACCTATGGGGTGGTTTGGAAAGGTAATGGATTTTGATAGGGTAGTTTTCTTTCGTAAATTTATCTCAATGAGAGAAAACGGAAAGGTACATTATTAATACGAAGTTTAAAATTAATTTAAATGTTTTACCTGTTATAATCATATTTTAAGTTTAAAATTATAAAACGTGTCTGTTAAGTTAGGTGTCAGTTGAATATTTCGTGGATCACGTTTAACAAGATTGACGTATTTATTTGAATTTTTGGCATTGACGTTGATCAGGATAATCATCTTTAAAAAGCTTTATCACTGCTACTAATTTCAATGAAGATATAGATTACCCAAAGGATATCGAATTTCTAAATGCAAATGTCACGAAACACGAAGAAATTTTGATAACGTTAATTAATAATTCGATTTGGTAGAAAATAATTATATTGGTACGTAATATGTTTCACCTTAAAACTTTGCTTGTCGAAATATTTTAACCAACTTTTCTCGTTCCTTTTCGAATTTATAACGCGTATAAAAGAAAAAAAAAAGAAAGAAAGAAAGAAAAAAAAATGTAGGAAATAAAAAAAGATGCCGGTTGATTTATAGAACGTACGGGGAAGAACTTTAGCGCTCGGTCCCTCTTTGGTAAATGAAAATTCTCGCGAGAACATTTTCTCTTCGTTTCTTTTCCCACCTGCGGGAGTTCATTAAACGAAATATACGAAGTTTAAAAGCGTTCCCTCCGTTTAAACATTTTTTTTCATTTCTCGATAGTAGTAGTAGTAGTAGTAGTAGTAGGTAGTACCAAAAACTAACCCGACAACGTTTTTACAACAATTTATACGCGAGTTTACGCGAGTATTGAAATTTCATTACACTAATATTCGACTTTTTTGATGTTCAAAAAAATAACTCGTTCGGAATTTTCTCCTTCTCTCTCTTTCTCTTTCTCTTTCTCTTTTTTTCTCTCTTTCACCCCGGGAGCCATTTGGAAGTTTGGAGAGCTCTAAATCGGAAATCGAATCGAATTACGTTAGCTCGTGAAACATTCTTCATCGTTAACTGGGAGGGTTGTTCGTTGTAGCACCACCATGAGAGAATATAAGGGTGATGGTGGTGATGGTTGTGTGGACTTTCGGTATCGTCCGTGTTTCGCCCTTTGGCAGGGAATAAAGGAAAGGACGAGCCTGTCCATCCCAAAAAAAAAACGAAAGTCTTTCGAATCGTTGCCACCCCTATGGGATGGATAACAGGGTGTATTCGTTCTCGACGCGATTCACGATCATGTTTTAGATACCCTTGTGCCTTACTATTCCCTCCTCACCCTTGTCCCGTTCTATTTTTCTCTTTTTCATTCTATTCGTATGCATCTTTCATCGAAACCTACCACCACCCTCATCATTTGATTTCCACAACTTTCAAACTAAGCCACAGTTAAATTCCAAATAGCAACCCAAAATCTCGTCAATGTTATAGAATAATAGTTTTCGATCCCATTGAGAATAGAACACGCCTACTT